CTGATGACAATCCAGAAAGTTCTGAGGTTTTTGCGGAATAAAAAAGACCGTGAACGGCAGCATTCTTTCGCATTAACGCTGCTTTCGTTGGTTGTATGTGTAATCGGCGTCTGATATACACCGTGAAGGCTCCTATCCACCACCGATGCCGGCGTCTGAAACACACCACGAAAGCCTGCTATCCACCACCGATCCCAAGAGCCACCGTGAAGGCCGGCTATCCACCACCGATGCCAAGACAGCAGAAGCCACTGTCCCTTATCGCCGTCGTACACGGAACCCTGTGTTATGAACAAGTGACTTCTCAGTCATTGGCCGACTTGTCTATCACGGACCTTCGACTTGACATATCCTGCAGGGTACCCGGTGCACCATGTAGGTCGCCACTCGCGCAGACTGAGGAGCACTGTGTCGCCGCACGGTCAGCAAGTCGGCCGCGCACTCTAAAGCGATTGCGCCAGCCCGGGGATTCTCTTGCACTGTGACCAAGAGAGCGGCTGTAGCCGTGTAAGTGCCCATGCCTAAAGGCATCAAGTTATCAGATGTTTGAAGTGTCCGGTGAATACCACGAGCTGTGCTACTGCGCAGATACTTGGATAAAGCACCAGGGCGCCCGAGGTCTATGCGCTTCTGAGTTTAGTCAAATCGGGTGACCTTGTGAAGGTTACTGTTGTACAACGTTATGATATAACTTAAACGGGACATCAAAGCTTCTGCAATAAAACTTATTCCGACAATACCCATACAAAGTCAATGGAATTGTGACGGGCAGTACGATCCAAGGTCAACCAATGGCATTCCTTGGCCTGCCTTGCCAGCTGCCTTGACTGTTGTCACTGTGCATCGTCAGGCATATTAGCCCGCGGATTATTGCCGCGCCGTTTTAGGTAGCACAGGTGCCTAGTTCAGTCACTGTAGCAACAATGCGTCACGTCACAACAGCCAGGTCGCTCGACGGTGTCTGTCGCATCACGGACAGCTGTCAGGAGGACAGCGGAGGCTGGTGGTAATTGTTATTGGCATGTCAAAGCCAAAAACTTTCTGCGGGTTGGCTGCCATCCGCACCACAGATCTCTCTGTGCCTGATGTTCTCAGAGACGGGTATCTCATTCAGACGTCCTTGTAAAACATCGCGTCCACCGCTTATCCCAGCGGCGTGTGTTATAGGTCTGACAGAACCACCGCGGACTTATCCCAGCGGCATGTGTGATAGGTCTGACAGAACCACCGCGGAGGGGAATTATTGATTCTCGATACAAACTGTTTATGGGACGGGAAATGCCGAATGTTTTCTCTGCGCAGATGTCCTCCGCTATTAGGGGCGAGGGCACGAGCCTCCGGAGCATATATCTCGCCCTCGTCGCGTGTTGGTGTGAAAAGACTACCAGAACCAGGTTGTCCGCTTGCGTCCTGTCAGCGTGCCTGTCCAGGAAAACGCGAGTACACGTATTGCGTTTTGGCTACTGCGTAGCAATCCCTTATGGCTATATACATACATACATATATACATACATATATACATATATATATATATATATATATATATATATATATATATATATATTAAGTCTTGCACCGGAATTATTCCATAGGTTTTGCGTGGCCGTTGTCTCCATGGATGGCCTATCCGGGAGCTGCATGATAACATCCGTACATTATCAGGGTAACGATGGTGTAGCAATCCATGGCATGGAACAGCGTCACGACAGTCTGTGAGCTGCGCAGGTCATGCGGGTCATGTGCGTCCGCCCCTGACGCCATCGAGCACGCCGACGCAGTGCCGACGGACAACCACCGCCGCAGGCGCACGGGTCGCGTGGTCAGTGAGGGGCCATCTGTGCGGCCTGGTCGCCGCGTCCCCATCGAGGCACGCGATCGACTGATGTTAGTATTCGCCGGGAATAGAGACGCCCGGTCAGCCCTGAATGGCCAACAATGGTCTGAGATTTATGGCCGCCTTGCTGTAAGTGCAAAATCATTTGAGCTTGAACGGCCATTTCTCTCCTAAGATAAATAGAAGTCTGCCCTGACAAGCCTTTCCGTTCAGACCGGCCCTGCCACGACCCACATGGTTTTTCGTTGTCAAGGGCCCTGCTATTGTCTGCACTGCGGGAAGGCGGTGATTTGACGAGCCTAAACACCTCCCCTGGTCCCTTATTGTGTGTCGGGCGGCGCCGAGCTGTCGCTTGCAAAGTACGTCTGTTTGTGGTAATGCGCGGATCGCAGAAACTGAAGCAGGCAGCATGCGAGGCATTTGGACTGTTCATGCTCCTGTCTTGTTATTGGCACGGCAGGTCCGCGAGGCAAAACCTGTTGCTCTTTTAGATTCAGTTATCGGTACAGCCCTCCGGTCTTTTTATGGCCCTGTTGCGGCCTCAAGCCCGCAAAAAGCCGAACGCATTTCACAATTCTCCCCCGAAAGTTAAATGAGCCGAGCGAAACTCAAAGAGAAGCAATTCGAGGCTGCCATCAATCTATTTCAAAGGGTTTAGAAATTGAGTTGCGGCTACCAAACGCCTAAATCGAGCCGCGCCGAGCGTCCTGAAGAATTTGCAGGGCAGACGGTGGCCATTTGTCAGAGGCCGCTACTGGGCCGGAGTAATCCGGCTGGAAGCCTTGGTCCCGATAAAAACGGCGCCCCAGCCGGAGAGCGGGCGGCGCCGATTCGCCACACCGTCTGGCCGACACCATTGAACCATGATATAGGTGTCGGCTGATTTATCCCCTGCGCGCGGACACTTCCTGTTGCCGTAAAGGTGCGTGAAATCGAGCCGGCCGGCCGGACCGGACCGTAATTAAAGGGCGCCGCGCGGGCCGCCCGGGCGACACCAGGGGGGTCTGCCGGCAAAAATGACGGGTCACGTCAGCCAGGCGGCGCCCGGCCGAACGGGGTGACGACAGCGTGACATCTTGATCGGCGGGGGCGGGCCGCTGGAATGCGGCCGGCTGTTGTGGCGCGGTCGCCCGCCCGTCCTGTGCCACCTCCTCCGCGCCTCTTCACACGCCGGCCCGGACAAAACCGTAATTGACCAATTATGTAAATGTGGCCGGCGGACGCACTGCGAGAGCAAGAAGAGGCGAGCACCGACCCACTGCTAATCGTGTGCTTAGGCATTCTTCAATATTCAAATTGAATGCATTGAAGCCTGCCGTTGTCTGCGGTAGGTACACGCTCGAAGATCAATGCTTGCCATTAGGAGCAATGGACATTGTTAACAGCACAATGCGTCAGGCGACGGCGGCGGCCTCGCGCCAGAGCCATTGTCGGCCGGCGGGTGGTCCGCGGTGGCACTGTGACCGAATTGGCGGCGAAAATCGCCCCCGTCCCGCAGAAGCCGTCGCCATTATGCGACCGGCCAAGACGGGAACGCTTGTGGCGTGGACGGGCGGCAATGTGGAAATGGCGCGACGTAACGACCGGTCGCGGGGAGCAGAGCGTCACGGCCCATCAGCAGAGTAAACATGGGCGCGGCGTCTGCGCTGCCGGCGGCGCTGTGGCCCGCCTGTGGCCCTCGAGTCAGCGCCGCCGCAGTAGCTGTCGGGAATCGCGGCAAGAGTCAAGCTCACGCTGACTGGATTTATTCGCTTGATACATTTGTTAGTGCCAAAATATATTACAGAAAAGTAATAATGCAACTATTCGCACACTTGTCGCATCATTTGTTACAAAAATGACTCTTAAAAAACTATTTACAATTGGTCAGATACACATACTTGTTCGTACGAGGGCTGCATTCAACAACATACAAACTGACTAGTACGGCACGTTTTAACTCCACAATACTCAGTCTGAGAAGGAATGTTGGCTGTCAAGAATCGGCGTGCAAATATCCATTTTACAATACAAATCTGCGGATGCAGAAATAAATACTGATAATATTCTCCGGGCAGAGCTGCGGCGTCTTTGCGCTGCGCCTGGGCTTTGCCACGCAGGGCGCCTCGGGCTCCGCGCATGCGTGCGTCGCCAGTCTGCACTCGAAGCGACCTGGGAAGTGACCCGGGACGGAGGCATCGCACGACACACAAGTCGACACAATCGGACGCAGCCGCAGACCCGAGCCGTAAAATATCGTGCAAATCTAGCGTAAAAACGCTAACCCTAAAAGCCCTCGACGCATCTGACACAGCGCGCGTGCGTGTGCGATCAAAGCCGGCGCTTCGCCGCTCGCTCGCGCGAGGCGCGCTTCCAACAACACGTGCACCGCAAGGCGCACAGTGAGAGATTCCAGTTGGGCCGCGCATGAAGGGAGCCCGGGCGCGGCGACCGAAGAGCCTCCCAAGAGCAGCTTTGTCTCACGCCCCGGCGGCGGGGGCGCCGGCGTCACAAAAAGGCGCGCGCCGCGCCATCGCCGTCGCCGCGCCGCAATGGAAGCCGGCGAGCCCGCGTCGCGGCGCGCACGCGCGTCCTGATGGCTCTCGTCGACGCACCATTCGCAACAGGGGCAGTAACGAGCAAAACCGGCGGCGAGTGCGTTTTTCCTGCGGCGGATAAGAGCGGCGCGGGTCGTTTGAGGCCGATAGACGGACTTAGAGCCGGGTGACGCCGGCGGGAATTGATACGTCAGGTAATGGGCGCGTTCGCGAGGACGCAACGCCAGCCGGACGCGGCCGCACGCGGCGCGGCGAAATGGCGGCACGGGCGGCGCCCTGTTTACCGGAGGAAGCGCGGCTCATTTGTAATGATCGGCTGACGTCTGGGCGGCCAGGGCCGGCCGTCGTGTCGATAGCCGGCGACAATTATCGCGCCGGTAACCGGCAATTACGGGCCGCAGCTGAGGCGACGGTGCACGGCACGGCCGCCGATGCGGACACTAATGGCGTGCACGCGCGGCCGCCGGCACGCCTGCGCCAGCTCGAGAGCGGCGGCGGCGGCCGAGGGGAGTCGCCGCCGCCGGCCTGCGCCAGCTCGAGAGCGGCGGCGGCCGCCGCGGGAGTCGTCGCCGCCGGCCTGCGCCAGCTCGAGAGCGGCCGCGGCAGCCGCGCCGTCCGCCGGTCTCGTTACCGGGCGGCCGGGCGGATGTGGCCGACCGGGTTTTTTTCGGCAGGCTGGCCGGCGCTGACTGCGTAATAATGGGACCGGTGTCGTGGCTGATTGAGCCGTTACGAGCGGCTCAAGCGACGGTCTCAGCGCACCCACGTCGTAAACGGTTTAATCGACCATTGGAGGAGCCCGGCTGACCTATTGACGAGTGCGCTTGCCGATGGTCAGAGATAGGCGCCGCGCCGCCGGCCGCCGCGGCAATTAAAGCCTGTTTTCGCTAATTAAACGCCGCCATCTGCCACGTGAAGGTGACGCCGCGCACGGAAGCCGACTAATTTGGTTTTGTTTTGATGGGCAGCGCCGAAAGAGTGGAAATTGATTCCGGCCAGGCAGCTGCTGGGTCGCGCCAAATTCATCAGCCCGCCAGCCCGAGCGCCCAATATTCACCCCGACCAATCAGACGCCGCGATAATGAAATTAAGAGTCCATTGAAGCGCAAAGCCGGCAAATGCGAATGATCAACTACGACACGTAATGATTATTAACGAGGCTGGTCGGCCACCGCACCCAGACAAACATGGGATGGCTTTGAGCAAAACAGCGCATGAGTGAAACAACAATGGCACGCCTCCGCACACGCACACGAGCGCGAACACACTGCGCGCGGCCACATAACAACGATCGCCTAGAGTCTGGCTGGGATATCACTCTTCGCGCGCCTCGGCGCAATGTGCGCGCCCAGCCGCCGCCTCGTCCTCAGCGACGGCCTGTCAATGCAGAGGAACTTTGGTGAATTTGGTTGAATTAGGCCAACGGCCGTTCTGATCTGTCGGTGGCCTGAGGACGGCGCGCCTCCTCTTGCCGTTGAAGCTGAGCGCGCCCTTGCCCTTGTCGGCCAAGAACTGGAACACCTCGGTCCGCACGTGCAACCTCTCGCGGAAACGGCAGGTCAGGTTTTTGTTGTTCCGGCGCTTCTGAAACGACAGAGAACAGGCTGGAGTCGGGCGCCACGCGACACGGGGCACGGACGAGCAGGGCGGCGACATGGCGACAGCCTCCCTCCTCGCCAGTTTGGCCGGGCATCGCGCGGGTGTCTCACGCACTTGTGCACATGTGGTCTGCACACGTGGTCTGCACGCGTGGTCTGCATGCGAATTGCGCCACATCTCGCTACAGAATCGGCTGCTAAGCTAGAGGTACATAGAAAGCTGGAGGTGACGGCATTGAATCCAGAGTTATAGAACTTTCTCCCGTTGATAAAACTGCATTTTGTGCAATTGACCTTGGTGGAGCATTCTGACCGCATTTAGCGCCTGATAATTTGCGACGAGCCGTGGGCTTACAAGTCGTGCACGTGGTAAAAATCGCCGCCATCTGGAATAGCTTGGATATTGGGAGAGGCGTCACGCCGAGTCGTGACAGTCGGCCCACCCGGAGCACGAGCGCGCCCGTTGTCCTGGTCAGGAGGCGGTCGGAAGCGCGGCGGCGCCAGGCGCTGCGCGGATCGGCTGGACGTCCGGACAGGCACGTCCGCCAGTGTCTAATCCTGGCGGCCGGCGCGGAGCCGGCGCCGGCGCCCGCCGCCACCGGCAGCCCCGCGCCCGCCCGGTGGTCGGCTGTTTACCACCGAGTGTTAATCTGCCGAGAGCCGCTCGTCTCGAGCCGGAGCAGCTCCGGTCGGCCGCGGGCTCTGGCCACCGCCGTTCCCGCGAGCCCCGCGATAGGACCGCCGCCGTCCGGCCGGCCGCCGCGCCGCCGCCCTCGGCCAGCGGCCCGCCGGCGCTCCGCGGAGCAGCCTTTCGGCCAGGCTTTCCCGAGCTCGGCATGCACCGCGCCCGACGCGGAACTCCGATGGCGTTTCTCGGACCGGCTGCCGTGTGGAGGCGTCTCCTGGACGCGGCGCCGCGATGCCGTGCTTCAGCCGGCCACCGCCCGTGTCTGCCGCAGCCGGCCGAGCCGGCGGCCCGTGCAGCGGATCGGTCCGGCCCGGTCAGGCCGGCCCGATGATGTGGCGGGAAGCGGCCGCCGCGCGCCGCAACCCTGGCGCCACCGCGGTCTGGGCAAACTTCGACCTCTATTTGCTCTGCTAGTGTCCAAACACTAAAATCTTGCCGTCCTGCAGGGTGGGCAGCGCTGGGGCCGTTGCCGCACGGTCGGCGCACGGGCGGGCCTGCGGGCTGGCCGCTGCACGTGCCGGGCTGTGGGCGGCGCGTCACCTCTGCGGCAGCCGGGCCGCGGTGAAAGGCTCCGCGGACGCGGCCACACACGCCTCCTCGCACCGCCCATTCGTCTTCATCGGCGGCCGCGCCGCTGCCACGCACGCTTTGTCATTGGAACCGAGCACCGGCCAGCTCATTGTGATGCAAATGCAATATGAATAATTTGCGAGCCGTCGAACTCGTTTCCAGCCGGCGCCGAGAAGCTGGCGGCAGGGATCGGCAGGCCCTAAGCGAGGCTCTGCCGCTCGACTGCAACAAGTGTCCGGCGCGCGGCAAGCCCTCACGGACGTGATTCGGTCAATTAACGAGCTGAATGCTGCGGCGCCGCTGCCGGCTTCCGCGGCTCCAGCGCGCTGACGCGTAACAGGCCGACCGTAGCGCAGCCAGCGCGAAGTGTGCAGACGTCAAAACACGCCGCGCAGCCATCAACACACACCGCCGCGGATAAACAACGGCGGGAAACAAAGTGGCGGGAGGTGGCGGCGATCAACTGGCCATCACCGGCCGGATGCCATCGATAAAAGAGCCGGCGAGTGGTGGGATCGTTGATTACCTGTAATCCACGCCAGTCGGGATCACTCCGCGTCCACAGTGGTTTGATCCCTAGGAGCGGATCAAATCACTATCGGAACATCACACCACCGTTTCACAACGCTGGGCGTAGGGCCGTCGGCGGGGCTAAGTGGGCTGGAATGACTTCGGCCTAATGATTCGGCGGACCTGCTCATTCTTTCCTGAGGCAGATAGGCTGAACTATGATATACAAGATTATGGTGCGGCTCAGCAATGTATGAATAGCATGAACAGCGTGTTCTCGACAAGAACATTCGATTATTTACGGTTGTACCTGTCGTGTAATGCATACAATCGCTACGGTTGCAATGTACACAATTCTTCTCGCAGCGCTTGTCGCCACCGGGGACGTGAAACATTGCCCAATGAGCGGGATGGAAGCTCCCTTTCATGATCCGGTATCTGACGATAGCTTAGTTCCTAGTCCTCGATTCTCGACAAGCCCCAGGAAGAAAACCAGCTGGCATGCCAATATTTGTTTCTGTGACACCGATACGCACAAGAAATTGGCTTCCTCCGGGGTCCGTCATTGTATGAATAGGAAAATTAGTCAAAGACAATGCGACGTGCAAAAACGCTATTGTCTGAATGGCCCTCGTAGATAAATGGCCGGCCGAGGCGGCGGCGTCGGATCGGCAACAGAGGCGGAGCGCGTCCTGCCGACCCGGAGAGCGGGGACAACACGTCCACCGGCAAGACGGCTCGAGGCTGGGCGGCGCGGCGGCGGCGCGTCGCTGGCGACACCCGTCCGCCGTCGGTGTTCCCACACTGACCACGCTGCGACCAATTAACCCGAGCTGGTGAGCTAATTTCTGGAGAGCAGCGGCCGCTGCGCCGGGGCGGTAATGGCGGCGGCGGCATTGTTTTTCAGCGGGGCCGGTGTCAGGCGGCCGGTCCACATCTCTGCGCGGCGGCGGCGGCCCGCCGGCCAAATCACAGGGTGCTGCCCCGCCCCGCCAGATGAGCTGGGTGGCCGCTGACAGTCCCCGGAGCGGCCGCCCGGCGCGCCGCTCCGGTGCCTCTCGGCCGCTCCGGCGCCCACAGCCGCGGCCGAGCCGGGCCAGAGCCAGACACCGGCCGCCGGTGCCCCGGCCGCTTGGACTGGCCGGCAGGGCTGCGTGGTGTCACTGGCGCTCCGCCCCCGGTGGCCAGGCGGCGGCGCTGGCCCGGCCGCGGCCGCCCGCTACCGGCAGTTTGAACGTTTCGTTAGCGCCCAGGACCACCGGCGCGAGGCGCAGGATCAAACCGGAGGCCGCCGACCGCTGGCCACGGCCGGCCAGCACTCTCATTTCGAGCGCGTCACCACACCGCCAGTTAACAAATTACCCGAGACGCACCGGAACGGCAATGGGACTAAAACAGAGGAAGAATTAGCGGCCGAGCGGCCGAGCGGCCGGCCAGCCGGCGTCCGGCGCTCACTGACCCGGCCATTACACATTGGCCATGGCCATGCCGTGTGGCACCATCTCTCGTCCGCCGACAATTGAGATAGCTATTCTAATCGCGTGAGAGTGGAGTGCGTTAAGTAAACGCGCGCGCGCGCGCGCGCGCAGAGAGGAGGGTCAGCGTCCGAGAGCTCTGCCAGTCAATCACGGACGGGGCGGTTTACATACATTCCTACATACAAACACCATTAGCGCACGAGGCAAACAGAGCGGGCGCGTCGCGCAGCGGCGCGGCGGTGGCCAATTCGGGCCCGCCACCGCCGGTGGAACGTTGCCCGCTGACACTGCGGACCCGCTCGACCGGCGCGCGCGCGCACCAGCCCTTGCCCGGCGCGGCCACTCACTTACCGCTGCTCGCACGCGGCCGCGCTTGTTGAAGCAGATGTAGCGCTTCGCCTTCTCGTTGTAAATGTTGAAGAAGATCTTCGTATCGTTCGTGATTAACTCGGTCTCGAACCGGAGCAAGCCTGCAATGGAGCGGGAGAGCTGGGTCAGCACCGTCGCGACCGCAGCGCCGGCGCGCCGGCGCGAAGGGGCAGGGTGGCGACGGCGGCGGCGGCGGCGGCGGCGGCGGCGGCGGCGGTGGCCGCAGCTGCCCACCCGCGCCCTGTAATCACGCCGTCGCGTGATGCCGCCGTGCCAGACGAGCTGACGTCCTGAGCGACTGATACGGGGCGGCAAAAACGGCGCGGCGCGGCGCAGTGAGCCGCCGCCGCCACCGCGGCGCTGCCACCCTTCGGCGCGTCCGACAGGCGGCGCAGAAACAAAGGCTGATCACTCACTGCGGCCAAATTGCAGCCCGGTGGCGCCGATCGGTATCGCATCATCTTTCGACATGCAACGTGTGACCTCTGCCGCCGGACAAAAAGCCGATGCGTTCGGGATGGCCGCTTCCTGCCGATAGTGACGCAGCTGGAGGAAGCGACGGGGAGTAACAGAAGCCGCGCCCGGCTTCAGCCTGTTGGCTGTCGTCGTGTTGACACAGGCCGTGTACACAGGACCGCGGCCGGCCGTACGCCAGCTGTCCACAGAGCGGCGCCATTGAGCGGCCGCCGTCGCTCGGCGCCTCATGAATGGGGGACTGGAACGCCGGCCGACGGCCAGCTCCGACGCCGCCGGTGATTGCGGAGACTGCAGGCGTGTACAAGAGCCTAACACCGGCGGAGACTAGCGTCACCCGACAAGGCACACACTCCCGCTGTGCAGCACAATGCTATTGTGGCTGCTGATCACTGGCACTGCACCGAAAGACAGCGAGGAATGCCGACAAAAAGCGCGCACCGCAAACAAATCAAAGTGCAATTAACAGTGCAGCCTGCTCCTCAAACAAAGCGCGCCAAAATAAAAACACTCCTATTTCGGGAGAACTTTTGCAGGGCGCCCGTAAAGACCAGCTTATCGGAGAAGTAATCATACACTGGCACCTTTGTCGCGCCTATCTTGATCTCTCATTGGCTCTGATAACATTCCTGGGCTGCGCCGGCGCGTTCTCTGCCACCGCACATCCAAAACGGCCGTGACCGACCCGCCCTAACGCCACGCACTGCCGTGGGCCCGCGAAATCGGGAGGACGGGTGGAAGCCGTTTTTTGCGTGCCGTTCCCGTCTGCGCCCACTTTGACAAAGTCTCGCTGCGAGCGGCGTTATGTAATCTCCGGCGGGATACACCTGCCCGTGCCGTTTGTCCGCCGTGATAGTTCGCTTCTAAGGTTTCAGCGGGTGCTAATCGTCAGGAAGCAAAAACAGCGCAGGGCCCGGCCGATAAGCCCATGAGTCGACGGCCCGCAGTGACCCGCCATCCAGAACAACAATTGCTACATTACATTTCCGACATGAAATTCCAATGAGCGCAGTGCACAGCGTGCGCCAACACTCCGATTACGAAACCGCCGGCGCGTTATGGAAATGGGGACCCCCTGATCTGAGATGACCGGCGTCCGCCCCGCGCGCCATTCGCTGGCCCAGGCGGGAGTGATTCGATTAAGATAGGGGGCGTGTGCGGTGGCGCGCTGACCAACACCTCCGCGCAGCTCGAATATTCAGCACACTCATTTCAAAGCCAAGCGCAGGTAAACGGCTGTGCGCGGCTGTAACTCAGGTGGCGCGTTTTTGCCAGACTCGGATGTCTGCTAAGACCGCGGTGGCGGGGGAGGGCTGCGACCCCCGGCAGGGAAGACGCGCGCGCCGGCGCCAGCCCCATGCTTTTCGGGAAGCCCGGCGCAAAACCCCCAATCCACTGCGCTATACCCGTCCTGCCGGCCGTCATAGATAAGGCCGTGGCAACCGACGCCGCGTCACAACATGTCCTGTACGCGGTCGTTAGACAGAGCCAGGCCCGCGAGACAGGCGCCACGCTAAACCTCTCAGGAAACTCGCCACCATGTATTGAGTTTCAAGGCGTTCCCACAGCGGAGCTACCTCGGACATCGACGTCCAGATAACGCGTGCTCAGCGTGATGCATGAGCCAGCGCAGCTACCTTGGACACCGCCGTTAAGATAGGATATGTTCGGCGGGAGGTCTGTCGGCAGCCCGTGCAGTCGGCAGCGCCGGCGCCAAGGTCACAGCCTCCGGACACGGCCGAGCGGCTGTTTACCCGCCCGGTAATCCGCGCGCGGGTCGCCAACACCTGCAATACACGCGATCGTATCGCTGCCGTCTCGTCAAGATACCATTAATCCCGATCATCGACGCCCTGTCGGGCGCGCGCCGCATCGGCCCGGCGTGAAGCGTGGCACGGCTGCGCGCTGGCGTACGGCAGGGGAACGGAAGCCCGCGCGACGACGAGGAACGCGGAGGAATTCGTCGGGGTGGCTGTCAAGGTCTCGCGAGATCAAAACAAACAGGCGAGATCCGGCGACAAAGTCCAGCGAAAACTGCGCCGCAGTTGTCGCCCGGCAGAGCCTCCGTGCTCGTACGTCACGACTCCAGATATGCGGTCATCAGAGGTGGCCATTATACTTGCGACATCAACCTGAAGCATGATTTAATTAGGCTTAAGCCAGGCTGTCTCTAGAGCGCTCATTAATTACAAAGTGGCGCCGCATTTGCATGTGGACCCAGTGTTTAGTTGGGACAGAACGCTACTTAGTAACAAGCCACCTCCACTCCTAGACGAGATATTACAATAAATTAATAGTGGGCACCAGGTGTCAAGATGATATGTAAAATGGTTGCGTGTTTCCTTGCATATAAGCTTGAAATAAATTTAGATAAGACAGTTCCGTTGGATACTACACTCTCAAGGTACAAAAACATCCTCACAAGCCGATAACGAAAGGTCAGAAACGTCTTTGTTAGGCAGCTACTCCATGAATGTCCGACATGAATACAAATGAATGCTCGCGGAAAATTCATGAATGCAAATGTTCAAGAGTCACTAATGTCTGCGTCCCCACAGTCACTGCACAGCCGACGCTTTGCCGTCGAGGGGCAACGCTACGACGGCGACGCGGCCCGTTTTTTTTTTATCCAATAGAATTCCTCAGTTATCAGCACAGGTGTCTAAAAGCGGGACATGTCGCTCTCAAACGGCGCCGCCGCGCCGTCGGCTTCTGTCCATACAGTCAACATTGGCGGCCCGGGCGGGCACATTGGCGCCGCTATCTCCGCGTGCCGGATAGCCGCGATAGCCGACCGCGGAAAATTCCGCGAACGCCGCTACCGCCGCGCTCGCGACGATAGCCGCCGACCCGGCCCCCAAACGTCTCGCGGCCCGCTTCTCGGCCGCTGCGCAACGAGCCGCGCGCAGCGGCCGCGCGCCCCTTCCGTCCGCCGCGCCCGGCCGGGGGCGGCGCCAGTACACACACGCGCACACGCACACGCGGCCGACGGCGCCGGTCGGTGTCTCTAGAGCCGGGAGCCCCGGCGTGAGCCCCGAGACAGCTCCGCACTAGTACTCACTGTGGCTGTTTTTCTCCTCGGAGCGGGCGACCACACGGTATTTGCCGCGGCGCCGCGGCCGGTGCAAGGACACGAAGCTCTCGTACCGGACGTTGTACAGGTACGCCCGCGTCATGGTCCGCGGCGGCTGGTCGTTTTCGTTCAGCATCGGGTGGCTGTGCGCACGCCTCGGCGGAGACAACTGGCCGACAGAGGGGGCACGTCAGCGGTGCACGCCGCGGCTCCGGCTCCTGATTCTGGGCGCTGGGCGCGGCCGAGCAGTGCGGTACACGTACGGCGTAACGACACGGTGCAGCACCCTGTTTGACATTTGATTTTGACATTGGAAGTTAATGACATTTCGTTCCTGCGCACAATGCTGGCGCGCAGGAACGAAATGTCATTAACTTCCAAAAGCGGAATCACTATAAAAATCTACCGGCGTGTGTCGGACATTTTTGGCAGGAGTAGAAAGCCTGTCCCATCCACATGAGCGCGGCTCACAACAGATCGGCCGAACCAGAGCGTCAACTTACCATCACCAGTAGACTTGCAACTAAAACGAATTGTGGCCCACGCCTGCAACAGAAGAGAGAGCCGTGAGTCCCAGGTCGCGCGCTCGCGTCCACCGGCCCCGCTCTCAGCGGCACGTCCGTTTAATCAGTCGTCTGCAAGCGGGCGTATCGGGCGCAGCTCCCGCTCACCGAAATGCACGCACTCCGCACGCACTGTTATCAACGCACAAGGGCGGGCCACGTTGAGAGCGGGGCAAATATTTGCACAGCTTTCGAGCGCCGCCCGGTGCCCGTCGGCGGCCCCGCGAGAGCCGGCCGGCCGCGCTCTCACCGCGCCGGTCAGCGGGCGGCGGCGGCGGCGGCGGCGGCGGCGGCGGAGGGCCACTGCCTGCCTGCCCCCCAGGGTCGGACGGCGGACAGCGGGGAGGACACGTGGCAGGACGGAAGACCAGAGGACGACACAGTATGGCGCACAGGGGGAAGGCACAGGTCAAAAAACGACGGACAAAGGGACGACGGAGGTCACCGAGCAAAGTGTCGAAAAGTGATACAGGACGACGGACAGCCAGCATAACGCAGGCCATCCCAGAGGGGATGACACAGACCACAGAACGACCGACAGTGGCGCGAAACAGACGTGAACAATGGCTGACACCACGGGGCGGAGCGCGGGCGGCATAGACGACATCACGGGCAGAGAGCAGAAGGCATACACGACACCACGGGCGGAGGACCGCAGGCAGAGCGGGACTGGAAAACGCCGAGAGGCCTGAGAGGGTGGCGGGGGCGGGGCAGGGGCGGCGCCGTCCTGACTGCGTTACGACGGGCAAAGTCCGGCGGCCCCCCGTCTCTGAGTCGGGACACTGAGATAGGGTATCAACGCCTGGCGTCGCCGGCCGCGGCCAGCTGCGGCGCCGGCACAGCCGCGGCTACCGTACGAGGGGGCCCGGCTCCCGCTCAGGTGCAGCCCGCATTCCAACACAGGTGCGAGTGCGTGAGAGAGGTGGAAACATGTAGCGCTTGGGTGACGCGGTCGGAGCGAGAACTGAAGCCATGCTGGCAACCGGTCCAGTGTTACACCAACACAAACACTGAATGTGAGCAACATCTGCGTGTGCATTTTCCTGCTGTCACCGACGTTGTCGCTTAGATACGCAGTACGTCAGGTAAACGGTATATATATATATATATATATATATATATATATATATATATATATATATCGTACGGAATACTGCGCGGATACAAACTGAATCAAATTAGGTTTATCTTCATCCATGTTCTCAATACTGACAATTGTAAGGTAGCAGCTAGGGACAATATAGCATCCCCGCAGACCTGTTTAGTTCACAAAACGCCGCACATGGTAGCCCGGCCGCTCCCGTACAGTCGAACGCGGTCGCTCCCGTACAGTCGAACGCGGCCGCTCCCGCACAGTCGAACGCTTCCGTACGAGCCGAGCTCCCACAGTCACTCCCAGAACTCTGAGCGCCCTGCACTGCCGAGCTGAGCTCCTGCTCAGGTCCAGCTCCCGCGCTACCGGAGTTCGGCACGACGACGGCGAGCCCTGACCGACGCCGTGCAGCGCTGGTGAGCGGCCGACTGGCGAGTTGAACGGCGTGTGGTTTGAGATATGCTTGGTTGCATTTCCGAGGAGCCGAGCTGGATTCATCCGGCAGCACACCCCACGAGCTGCCCTGGGTTGATTTGTTTGCAGGGAAGCAGCTGGATTGCTGTTCTATATGGCGCAGCTGCTTGTAGTCGCGAACACAGCCTGCCGAGCGCCACCTGTAAACGCCCATCTATGGCGGGAGAGCCCCCAATAACTAAATTCAATTATATTCAGTTAGCATGTGTACCGGCGCGGCGGCCGCCGCTCAGATGGCCATCTCGCTTGCCACTCGCCGTCACCGGCCTGGCAAACTCATGCATTACAATCGACGGCGAAATGGTTTGTTTGGCTTTTCCGGCGGCTAATGCATCGCGTGGCGGTCCGCGTGGCGACATGCCCTCCCGCGCGCCTAAGTGGCCACCTATTGCCGGGTGTTTACCGCGCGGCCGGTGGCGTTCGGCGGCCGGCGCTGCGGTCCGGCCCGTCGCCCGCTCGAGCGACAGCTCTCGGTCGGTCGGCAGGCTGGTCCGGCGACACCGCTTCCCCGAACGGCGGTGTCGCGGCGACGCGGCGCGGCGGCCGGGCGCCGCGCGACCTTGGCGGCACGCGCCGGGTCACCGTAAGCCTTATTGATTGCAGCGGATCATGTGACGCGGCCCGGGAGCCGGCGCCGCACCGGCCATTTAGGGCAGACAAATCGCGCCGCTGCGCCCGCCGACCCTTGCACAACGCCCGCCATCTATTGCCGTCAGTTTTTGTCGCCACCATTGTCCCGATACAATTTGTTCATTTTATAAGGGGTCCTGAGTAAGCGGCGCGCGCGGCCGACGCGGCAGGGTGGCGGCGGCCGCTGGATTAATGCCGGCTTCGTCCCGGCGGACCGCGGCACGCCGCTGGCCGTGCACGCCGTGCACGGTGGCCGTGCTGGCGCCGTCGGCGCGCGCGGGTGTGCGCCTGCATCGCAAGCGGCCCGATCGAGTCAAACCGTGGCGCCGATCATGCGGCGAACGCATTACGGCGGTCCGGCCGTGAGTAGAGTCGTGAGTCACCGCCGCCGCCCTGCCCGGCTCGGCCCGGCCCACAATGGCAGCGCTAATAGTGCAGTTACAGCACAGGCGCCGGGGATATTTAACTTTATAAAGACATAAACGGGCCGGGGGTGATTATCGCCACCTATCTTCGATGGTCGGAGGAAGTCAGCCGAGATTTACGACAGGCCAAGCAAAAGGTGGCATAAAAATAAAAATAAAACGGCCTTTCTATGGAAAGGGCGGCCCGGCCGTTTCCGAGGGCACGTGGACCCATCCACCGGCGGCCGAGGACAGCCGTGTAAATCTTCGGGGCGGCGCGCGGCGCGCCGGCCGGCGGGGCGGCACGGGCCGCACCCGCCGACCCAGCCGTCGCCGGCGCGCCGCGTCTGACGCGGCGGTCGTCCGGCACGCCGGCGCGGCGGGCGCGCGTGTGCGCCGGCCGGCCGTGCGCGGTCGTACTGCACGTCGGCCGCGCCGGCCGGCCCGGCTCCGTGTCTAATGCAGCAACCGTCGTCATGACCGCGGCCGCTGGCGCCAGTGCCCCGTGACGACGACGGCGGTCCGGCCCATTGTTGGCACGGGCTCTGGCCAGGGGGGGGAGGGGGCCTATCGGTCCCTTCGCAGAGTCCCAGGCGCCCTGCAGACCAGTCCCGAAGTCTTGCCGGCCGGCGACGCTGACGAAACGCAATACCAAAAGTCCTCACGATAGATACCGCCGGAGCATATTGCGCAATTCTAATCAAACGGTTCTCTCCCGTCATCATGATCGCAAGCGTCTTGAGCGCGCCGCGGACACTAGGACCGGTTTGAACGCTGAGCCGACTACGACAGGCAGGCATCAGTGAGGCGCTAAAAGCCCAGCACCCTTCCAACGCACGGCGTTCTTTCGTGCGGTCCGCGCGTCCCAAAACAAGCCGACCATATAATAAATGGGCGCTGGATGTCGTCTAATTGATCAATAAGGCGAGATTAAAGGATTCGGCGGCCGCACAAGGGCGATTAGGCCGATCGGTACAAGCTTCCCGGGAGATACGATCGGTCGGCTGTCGGTCCGTGCACCAACAGGCCGGTCTTGCCGGCAGCGAGCCCGCCGGCCGGTTCCCCCAGCCGCGGCCTGACCCGCTACCATCTCCAACACCGCAAATACCCGCTAAACCGTCATCCAGGAATGTCACGAAGGCCGCCGGGGCTGTGGGCGGCAGCGATGTTTCCGCATGGTTGGGAAATATACTGTGAGACTTCTTTTAGCAGCATTATCAATCAGGACATTGCGGGTTTTGACACGCGCTGTAAAGGCCGCCCCTGCCGGTTAAGCTACTAATCGCTTTGGCCAACTAAAAAATATTCAAGTTTGCTAAGGACATATCTTAACAAACGAAAGTCGAGAACGTCAACCTTTTTAATTTGGTACAGCCTTACGCAGTCTCCGTGTCACGCAGTCTCGGTGTCAGGCAGTGCCAACCTCAGCGTCACGCAGTCTCGGTGTCAGGCAGTGCCAGTCTCAGCGTCATGCAGTCTCGGTGACAGGCAGTGCCAGTCTCAGCGTCGTGCAGTCTCGGTGACAGGCAGTGCCAGTCTCAGCGTCATGCAGTCTCGGTGTCAGGCAGTGCCAGTCTCAGTGTCATGCAGTCTCAGTGTCACGCGGTCTCGGTGTCACGCGGTCTCGTTGTCAGGCAGTGCCAGTCTCAGCGTCATGCAGCCTCGGTGTCAGGCAGTGACAGTCTCAGTGTCACGCAGTCTCGGTGTCAGGCAGTACCAGTCTCAGTGTCATGCAGTCTCGGTGTCAGGCAGTGCCAGTCTCAGTGTCACGCAGTCTCTGTGTCAGGCAGCACCAGTCTCAGTGTCATGCAGTCTCGGTGTCGGGCAGTGCCAGTCTCAGTATCACGCACTCTCGGTGTCAGGAAGTGCCAGTCTCAGCGTCATGCAGTCTCGGTGTCAGGCAGTGCCAGTCTCGTTGATAGATCCCTCAAATGAAATGCTTAGCCCGATGCATACATTCCAATGCTAGAAGAAGAAAAAAACTTCTGAAATTTGACGTTAAAGACGGCTGACGGCGAGACGAAAAAGCCGCTGGCGAATGCTGTAAAGACCACTGGCATGTGCAGTTAAGTCCGCTGATGTCTACCGTCAAGTGCGCTCACGGGTGCTGTAAAGGCCGCTGGCACACATCGTCAAGGCTGCTGATGCTGCTCAGTAAGCACTCTGACGCATGATATAACTCCTCTGCCCTAAGGTGCAGAGGTCTGAGGCCTCTGCTGCGGATGCCGCTGTGTGCGCGGTAAAAGCATCTGGCGTGTACAAGTGACGCTAACGCACCGCGTGAAGGCTGCTGACGCATGCTGGAGAGGCCGCTGACGCATACTATAAAGACCGTTGACGTGTACCGTTAAGGCCGCTAACACGTACGTTAGAGGACACTGACGCACCGTATGGAAGCCACTGACGCGTACTTTAAGGGCCGCTGACGTGTACCGTAAAGACGGTGACGTGTGCGGTGAGAGCTTCTGGCGGGACGCCCCACACGAGAACAGCGCACGCGCCGAGGCCGCGGCGCCTCTCGGGGCGATTTCTTCCAAGTGCGTCACCGCGCCGGAGGGGTGGCGGCTGATAGAAAAAGTGTGCTCGCTGGCGGGCTTCACTCGAGGCACTGCATTACCATAAATGATAGTATCCTCGGCGAGGCGTTCGTCAGGCCAGAGGTTAATTTCTACTCCGCTATGCCGACAAGGTCGAGCGACTGCACGGCACGGCGCCGCCGCATGCATAAACAAAGCTCGGTTGTTTTCCGCGTCGCGAGCGGCCCAGGTGGCAACAGGCTCCGCCCGACGCCACCGGTGTCGTCCGAGAGCTCGACGAGGGGCGGCGCCTCGCGCCCGGCGGCACCTTCAAACGCGGCGGCGTCCGCGCAAACTTCCGCGTTGCTCGCGCCGGCTCTCAGCCACAAGTCGACTCGAATCTAGCGCCGACGCGGGGCAGCCCATCGCGCGCCGCGGACTTTCGAAACGCGCCGCCGCGTCGCTGCAAGCTCATCGGCTGTCGGGCGGCGGCGTTTTTAACGAGAGGGGCTCTGACAGGCGGGCAGGCGAGCCGACGGGGGCTCGGGATATCTGATGAACGGTGACCGGGCGGCGGTCGGCGTCTCCTCTCCGGCTCCTCCCCGGCCCACGCCGCGCCGGCCGGGCGACCCCGGCCGACCCAGAGGTCAGGGAAGTCAGCAGAGGTCGGCACGCACCGGTCGTGGGGACAGGCAGCGGCCGAAATAAACCAGCTGTGGTTGATTATCAAATCACAGCATCGGCCTCCGCAGCAGGCTATACGCCACACAGGGAATCTGCCGACAATCTGGGATTATTGATCCGACTGCTCTGGGAACACGGCCATCAAGTTGTAAATTTAGAACGAGACAGTGCCGCTTGTCGAGAGCCGCCTCCAGTTCTGCGAGCGAGCGCTGATGGGCGGGAAAGTCTGAGCGCGTCGGCAGTGACGCAGCACGACAGCCGCACCGGGACAGGGCGACAGGCACCGCAAGCTGGGCTGAGCCACCCGCCCATAGGCCGCCACCTCCCCTGCCGCCGCCGCCGCCGCCGCCGCCGCCGCCGCCGCCGCGAGCCAGCCCTTCAGAGTTCACGCTCGATCCGGCGGCGCCACGAAATATGGCCGCCTTCACAGAAAGCATGATGAAGTGCGCGCGGCAAACGCGCAGCTCATTCCGCGGCAATTACGGAGGATCATATAGTCGATCGGGCAATGAGTCATTTGCAAGGGACAGTAATTAGACGGTACTGTAGGTCAGGGGGCATAGTCCGTGTCATGTACGGCAATTAAAGAAGATGGGACAGACGTGATCCGAATATTTATAGAATAATTGCGGCTCCTTGCTACCCCGCTTAAGTTAATGGGCATTCACCGATAAGTTATTAGCAAATAATCATAAAAATAACTTGTTTCTCCCGATGCAAGCCCGGCGCTTGTGCAGCGGCCGGCGTTTTATTCGCTCTCGCTGCACGTGGCCGACGCCGGGCCGGCTACCTGACGGCACTGGCCGCGGTTTAATGTTGCCGGTCGCCGGTGAACGAGCCCACCGTTCAGATGACCGCGGCGGAATGCCCGCACGGCTCGCGCAGCCGGCCACGCGCGCGACTGAGCCGGCACGCACCAGGCGCGATCCCTTCAGCAGGCGGGCGTCGGCACGGCAGTAGGCTGGAGTGGATGTGACAGAGCTGCACGGCTTACGCCGACTTTGCGCCGTTCGCCGGCGCCGGACCGATGGTATCTGCCGCCGATGGTGGTCACTGGACCGGCCGACCCTTCGCCGTCGCGAACTGGCGACCTCAGGAGACGGCCGCGTCCGAGCCGGGCCGCAGCCCAACCACACACCCCCGCCCGGAGCTCGGAAGATGGGGGGAGCAAGAGAAGGCAGTGTCCTGCTCCCGGCGCCCGGCGGTGGGGCGGCCGTACCGGCCGGCCACAAATGGTTTCGTCAAGCGGCTGAAGTAATTAGAAGCCGCGCCGCCTGTTCGCTGCGATCGATCCTAATCGGCATGAGTTTTGATTCGGTGGCCGGCGAGCGAGGTCTGATCTGTCTGACGCCGATGGTATCGACGACGGCCTCACAGGAGTCCCCTATTCTGTCTGCATACCTAATGAAAGCCGGCCTGATCGGCCGCGCCTGCAGCCGGCGACGGGAGGCGCGGCCGGCAGCTTGCATCGCCACAGCTTGGCGCCGGCGTCGGCGCAGAACTCGGCTGCTCGGAGGACGAGCTGAGCCCAGCTGGGTGAGACGAGCGAGCCAGATACAGACAGCCTCGGGAGCGAACCAAAGGCAACCGACATCGCAGTTTCACACGCTATGGCACACATTTCGAAGGTCGGAACGTCGACGAAGAGGAATCACGTAATCCCATCTCAATCCGACTCAACCGAGGGAACTGCATTCTCGTGGCCGTGATCTGTCTGCGAACAGTGCCCAACCAGCACGGACCGCTCGCCGCTGGCTGGACCTGCCCGCCGCAGCGCCCGGGCGGCGATATCGGAGAACGCGGAGCCACTGACTGACGGACGCGGCCGGGCTCCCGGCAACAGCGCGCCGCGGTGAGGCAGCCGCCGGCGGCGCCGAGTGCTCACGACCTGTGCGTGACCCGGCCCGGGGCGGCGGCCCTGCGCCCTGCGCCGCGGGGTCCGGTGAAAGCCGGGGCCGCCGACTCCGGGCCGCCACCGGCCGAGGACACCGCGCGCTCCTTCGGTCCGGTCCCTCCGCGCCGGAGCGGCCGCGCCACGATTTACTGAGGCCGCCTGCGCACACAATGGTGACATTTTATGATGGGGCATTGAGCGCGTCCCAGGTAAGGCCCGCGTGCCCCCGGCCTAATCCAGCGCCTGCTCGTTAAAGAATCCTTAACATTCCTTTGGGGACAAACGCGATTCGCTTATAATGGCTGCTCGAGTCGCCGTTGTCGGTAATGGGCGGCTGGCGGCGGAGGGGCGCGTGCGGGCGGCGCCTGCGGCTGCCGAGGGTCAAGCCGCGGCCGGCCCGGCCCGGTCCGCGCCCGCCAGCGCCGGCCATCGGCGCGCGGCTCCGGCGCGCCGGCCACCGCGCCCAATCTATCGCCTTTCAAACGGACCTGGAGGGGCGGCCGGGCGGCTAACGAGCCGGCCGCGGCGAGGGTTGACAGAAGCTGGCACTTGTGACGGGGTCCGAGCGGCACCGAACTGAGCCCGATCGAGCAGCGCGCGCCCAACCCACCGCCCGGCCCGCCGCCGAAGCGGCAAGCTTTGTGCCCGCAGTCTAAGGCGATTTGTAGCTAAATCGGCCAGCTGGAAGCGCGTCCAGGTGGCGGCGCGGGCCCGATAACAGGCGGCGCCGGAGCCGTCTGCACGGTCGACGTCGCGCCACTCGCCTCTGCCGGCGCGAGGAATGTGCTCCCCGACCGGCGACTTACGCCCCGGCACGCCCAGGCGCTCGCGTAACACGGCACACTCGCAGTACCTGCATCGAAACAAAGCCGTATCTGCACGGGCCTTGATAGTGCCTCGACCATGGCCATTCACCTGTTTTCGGCGGCGCTATCGGGTACCTGACCGGACACAGGCAACGCGGCCGAGCAGGGACGCGCGCCAGCACCACCGGCAGACGGGCTGACAACGGGGGCTGCGCTGCCTCAAATGGCTCAATTATACTAATTTATGATCGTGATTTATTTGATTGCCTTGAGTGGTTTTATGGCCGTTTTAGTGCCGACTGTCTGTTTAGAGGGAAATCAGGACGCATCTTCGCCACAGTTGAACAGCCATACAGTCGAGGCCAAGCAAGTGCGCATTGTCTCAGAGCAGAGGGCGGGCGGCACTCAAGTGAAACAGCACCTGCCCAGAAACACACAGTTCACAAACACCAACACAGTGAAGTGCAGAAGCGTGACCTACTTAGATATGTACATGGGGCGTTGTCGCGTTACACCTCATGAGGGCGTGCAGGATCCGGGACTGGAGTCAGCGGTCACTGACGTCGGCGCGGTCGGGCACATACTACTGGGGCCCGCCGCCACGGCTCGCTCGGACCGCCTCTGGCAGCTCGCGGAGAGGGCAGATGCACACCTCACTTAGCACCGGCTCCAGCGCGCACTAGCGCGGCCGGCAAGTCACACGTCTAAATGATCGCGGCGGTCACGTGACCGGGCGCCGGCCAATGGGCGGCCGCGCCGGGCCGGTGGGGGTTTTTAGGGGACGGCGCCGGCCGGCCCGGGACGCCGGCTGGCCGCGGCCGGCTGGCCGGATCGCCCCGGGCTGACGGCAGGTCAGGCCGCGACCGGCCGGCGGTGCTAGGTGATGGCGCGTGCCACGCAGCACACGGCCGCCGAAGGCGATGACGGCGGGGCAGTGAAGCTGGCGGTGTCACCCTGGCGTGCTCGTCTCAAAATCGTTTTTAACTCGCCTCAACTACAAGCGGCATTTTGAAGCGTTAAACGAAGCTTTAGGCGTTTATATGTCAGACCTGCACTTATACATTATTCGTGTCGTTTGACCAATCCTATGCGTATGATGACTTGTCTGTGCGGCGCTCAATGTGTGGCTGACAGGTGCAGCCAAGGGAGGGCTGTCCCTTAGGCCTGGTATTTTTTTCATATTTCACGATAGATGGCTCCGAACAGATAGTTCCAAATCGACATGATGTGGTTCCACTGAGTTCCGGGCCCTACAATACGGTTCTGCTTGCGCCGCTGTTGCAGCTGATGTTTGCGATTAAATATTTTGACTGCGTGTGAGTTTATTCGCGCAGCAATTTGCATTGCGCAACGAATTGTGTGGCAGATTACTATCACTCAGTCAGATACAGCATTAAGCCCTTTGAATCCCGTTCCCGAGTTATGGAACAAATATTTTGGATAAATTTACTCCAAACGCAGATATTCGGGCTCGCTGTTACCTGTTTATGAAACGGTAAAAGATGGTCTTATACATACACACACACACACACACACACACACACACACACACACACACACACACACACACACACCACACACACACACACACACACACACACACACACACACACACACACACAACACACACACACACACACACACACACACACACACACACCACACACACACACACACATTTATATATATATATATATATATATATATATATATATATATATATACACATTAGAATAAAGCATACTTAGCAGGACTAAATGAATACATCATGAATGGTTTATTATAAAACGTTAGAACGTAATGACACATGCAAAATATTATATCCTAAAAAATACAATAGCAGCAAAGACGTGGAAAAATAAGGACTTCTAAGCTGGCATACAAACAGTATATAAGCTCTCTGCAAAGTTAATCAATACTACACCACAACTGTGCATAAAGGCGCGTGTATTTAAGCATCACGCAGCAAGTATATATGTTTACATATCTGGCTACATGAGACAACAACTGCAGCATTAGATAGCTCGGTCCGAAGTCAATCTAAATGTATTGCAAGATGTGTGCAGCAGATATCAATACTTGTAAAACACTCGCTGCCTGTATCCCTGCCAAGAATTTACGGGCCTCGTAGCCTATGGAGCAACACAGGGGAGCGAGCGATTGGCTGGATGACGGCTGAACCGCCAGCCGGTACCGCTAGCGCAGGGTGACGCTGACCTCCTCCCAGTGAGGGCAGCGTGTGCAGAGGGTCCGCCTGGATGGGGGAGGGGGGAGGGCGCGGCCAGCCACCGGATGACACGCGCGCCACCATTGTCTGCGGCGGCGGCGTGCGGTGAGCCGACCGGGAATGTGCGGCCGTTCCTCTGCAGATCCGCGTCGGCGCGACGGCCGTGGAGGCGCCGCAGGCACGAAGCGCGCTGACGCCGATTTCACGCCCCCGACGGCCGCGGGGCATCGCAGACGGAACGGCCGGCTCCCGGAGCTTCCGTGCCAGGCTCGCACAGCCGCCGCCGCTTCTTAACCCGGTGGTTAAGCTAAATGCCGGGCACTACATGGAGCTACCGGGAACTCTACGCTAGGCCCCCGAGACTCCTGGAACCTCTGAGTGTTTCCTCCGTGAGAAGACAGATATGCCGTATATGCCCAGCTCTCGGAACAACCGGGGATTCCATGCAGCCCGCGGGAGGGGGCCTGCTTCCGTGACCGTGCTCGGGGTCCGCTCCTGTGACCTGTCGAGGCCCCAAAGGCTTCCGGCGGCCGCGCGCCCCGTGATGGCCGACCGGGCGGCGCTGCACTCTCGTCAACAGCTGATCGCCTCTCGTTTATCAAGCAGGAGCCGGTCTTTGAATATCAAATGACAGCTGGAAAAATACGGCTGTCCCATCTACAGCGGGCGCGGTAATTAACGGCCACCGTGTCGGAGCCTGTATGCTGGCCGGCCCATGCAACTCACCGCCGCGTCACCGCCTACGCTCACCACCGTGTCACCGCCGACGTTTACCATCGTGTCACCGCCGACGTTTACTACCGTGTCACCGCCTACGCTCACCGCCGTGTCACCGCCTACGCTCACCGCCGCGTCGCAGCCGACGCTCACCGCCGCGTCGCAGCCGACGCTCACCGCTGCGGCGCAGCCAACGCTCAC